CAGAGGCCCTTTGAATAGATAGGAAGAAACTGTGATGAAGTGTTTTGTGGGGACAAATCACAAAAGTCACAAAAGTGATTGTGCTGATTTTGGTAGTGGGCTGCATGTGCATGACATCTGCTGGAGGGGCAACCCCCCCCCAACCTATACATAAATTCCTGCAACATTGTGACTTGAAGCCATGGGTTCGAGTCCTACCCTCCAGAGCCGGGGAAAACAAACTGGTTCCCTCTTCCATGTGACAACCCTTCAGATCTTTGAAGATGGCTCTCCTATCCCCTCTCAGTCTCCTCTCTTCCAGGCTAAAAATCCCCAACTCCTTCAACTGTTCCTCATCAGGCTTGGTTTCCAGACCTTGATCTTGGTCTCCTTCCAGCTTGTCAATATCCTTCTTAAATTGTGGCACCCAGAACTGGACACAGGATTTCAGGTGTGGTCTGACCAAGGCAGAATAGATCCATTTATTTTTCTCTTGTTTTGTCATGGCTGCTTGGTTACAATTCTGTTCAGAGTTTATTCCTGGTTTTAGAGGTTTCCTGTGAGGAAGAAAGTTTGCATTCGTGAAACACGTTGGGCTCTAATAAACTCTGGGGCTTCTGAGACTCTGTTTCCCCTTGGGGGCCATTTCACAGGCCAGGGGGCTACCGTGACAGGCTCTCATCCCTTGCCTTGCCTTGCCCCCCACTGGCAAAAATGACTCTTTTGGTGGGAGAGATGCCATGGGGCTCCCCAGTAGTCCCTGAGACAAAACATGTGGCTCCCCCGTCTGATATCTCTGCCTTATTCTCTGTGTAGCTGAGCATTAAGACAGTCTGCATTTTTTTTTTTACTTATTTATTTCTTGAAAGGTATTCACTGCTTGATTGTAAAAAAAAGAATACAGTTTACATATGCAAAAGCATCTCTTTAAAACCATGATATCTTTAAAGGTGCCAGGCGAAAACGTTCTTCTTCAACCAGGCCTTTGGCTGATTAATATTCTACAGTGTTTTAATATTCTACAGCTTGTGGGAAGGGGAGGGGTTATTGTTTTGCTGTTTTGTTTTGCTTATTTACTTGTTTTTATCCTGCATTTTATTCCGTGAACCCCCCGAGATTGAAGGGCATTATATAAACCTAATAAACAAACGAATGATAAAACATTCAAAAGGCAAAATCAGCAATAAATTAAGGACAGACTAAAACGGACAGCATCATTCTACATATCCGGGAGCGATTATCTAAGCAGAAATGTTTTAAGGAGGCACCGAAAAGAGTACAGGGAAATTGCTTGCCTGGTGTCCAGTGGCAGGGAGTTCCGCATCTCCAGGGCCTTGTCTTGCATTTGGAATTTTGCCCCCAACCCCAAATAAAACAGCAGAACCACCTGCGTGCTCTTGCAGGAGGTGTGTGCCTTTCCCAGGGGGAGGGATCCCTTTCTGCAAAGAGGGTTTGGGCTCCTCGGGACGCGCAGGCCAACGGCTCCCGGCTCTCTGTCCCCAGGAAGGCCAGCAGCTGATCGCGGAGAAACCGGAGCTGGCCGAGACGGTGAAGAAGAAGCTGGGCGAGATCCGCCTGTGCTGGGCCGAGCTGGAGTCCACCACCCAGGCCAAAGCGCGGCAGCTTCTGGAGGCCACCAAGGCCGAGCACCTGGTTCAGAGCTACGCCGACCTCGACAAGCGGCTCTTGTGCATGGAGAGCCAGCTGCACCTGGTGGACTCCGGCCCGGACCTGGCCAGCGTCAACAGCAACCTCAAGAAGCTCCAGGTGGGTCCCGAGGGGGGTGGGGGGGCGGGGCTGGCATGTTGGGGGTGGGGCTCTGGGAAGAGGCAGGGGTTCTGGGGGGGCTGGCACGGACCCTACCGGATGGGGAGCAGATTGCTCTCTCCGGCAAAGCACACATAATACTGGCTGTGCAGCTGTGACTCGGGGGGGGGGTCTGCAGGCACCTGCTGTCGGCTCGTGAGCCCCCCATCACCAGGAAGAGTCAGGCTAACCTCCCCAGCGAACCCTTCCATACCACCCCTGCTTCCTAGAGGGGCACTGGGAAGGAGGGGGGTGTCTTGCAGAGCAGCCAGGCCAAGCCAGACCCCCGGCCACGAGAACATAAGAGGAGCCTCTGGATCAGGCCAAAGGAGGCCCATCTAATCCAGCAGTGGCCAAATACCTCTAAGAACCAAGATAGACTGCCTCTGGATCTGGAGGCTCCATCAGGACCTGAGTGCCTGGCTGCTGGATCAGGGCAGTGGGCCCACCCAGTCCAGCATCCTGACCTAGGAAACCCTTGAGCAGGATCCGAGCCCCAGAGCAGCCCTCTCCCCTCCTGTGGCTTCCAGCACGGCTGCCTCCACCATTTCATCTCCGCACCTCCGTCTCCCTGCATCTCTTGAACCCGCAGCGCTGGACAAACTTCGCCTGCCAGGGATCCCTTCCTGGCCCAGGGAGACGCCTGATGCCCTGGCCATGGGCCTGTGCCTCCATGACCAGGGCCAGAGTTGGGTCCTGCCAGCCTCGCTGTACCCTTTGGGGACGCTGTGCTCACGGGGGAGACCGGCTGGGCCTGGGAGCTGGACCACTGCAGCTCACATCCCCTCCCTTCCTCGTCTGAAAAGTTGTAACTCGTCTTTCCTGGGGGAAACAGTCCAAGGAGGCTCCCGAGATAGAAGAAGGAAGCCATAAAATCCGAGTTAACAAGAGCAATAAAACCCCGACTCCCCAAACGCAGAACAACAACGAGACAGAAATAGGCTCCGTAAACACGGCAGGAAGAAATTGTAGCAGCCCCAGCGCAAGTCGGGCATCTGCTCAAATCCTGGCGCAGCCTGTGCTCTGTCCAGAGGCAGCTCTGGCAAGCTCAATCTTGGCCATTGGCAGGTGAGGCGAACCTTCCCCGAAGGGGTGGCGTTTCAGAGCCCAGGTTTGACCACAAAGGGGCCCCCTCCCCATTCCCGACAAGGTGGGCTTTGAGATAGATAGCCCCGACTGATGACTTTGTCAAGCGTGCAGGTTGACGTGGGAGACAACAGTTTGGCGCAGTGGTTTGAGCGCTGGGCTGGGACCTGGGAGAGACCAGGGTTCAAGTCCCCACTTGGCCGTGAAGCTCACTGGGTGGCTTTGGGCCAGTGGCTGCCTCTCTCGGCCTTCACCTGCCCCACAGGGTTGTTGTGGGGATCAGATGAGGAGGAGGAGGACCAAGGAGAGGCCCCCTTGAGCTCCTTGGGAAAGAAGGTGGGGTAGAAAATCAGGAAATAGAGGCAGGAAGGGCAGTCCTTCCGAGAACCTGGCGCTCAAAGGGCTTCCAAGGTCATCAGGAAAAAGGGGGGGGCGTTTCGAGGGGTCAGTTTCCCTCCCTGCCTGGGAACCACATTCTGAATCAGCTGAAGGTCCTGAACCCCACACAGAGTGCATTGCAGTAGCCCAGAGGGGACGCAAGAACAGCCTGCCACCCCCAGGGCCAGATCTGCGCAGGGTTAGAGCAGGAAAAAGAGGTCTGGCCACCACCAAAACCTGAGAAGTCCTGGGGGCCCTGATTCCAGAAGTACCCCCAGACTACAGACCTGCATCCTTAGTGGGGGCAGCAACCCCATCAGTCACAGGCTGGGTCCCCAGTCCTGCAGCAGCTCTGCCTTCTCAGAATTCAGCCCCACTGTGTTTGCTCTGCTCCATTAGACAGTGGTACCTTGGTTCTCAAATTTAATCCGTTCCGGAAGTCCGTTCCAAAACCAAAGCCTTTCAAAACCGAGGCACACTTTCCCATAGAAAGTCATGCAAAATGGATTAATCCATTCCGGACTTTCAAAATCAACCCTTAAAACAGCAATTTAACATGAATTTTACTATTTAACGAGAGCATTGATCCATAAAATGAAAGCAATAATGTACGGTACTATACAATAAATAAGACAGATGATAAAAATTAAAAAATATTTTTCTTCTTACCTGCACTGATGGTAGTCCTTGTATGGATGGGGGGCTTTTATCCATTTTTGCAGTCACACAATCCATCAAACAGTAGCTGGACTGGGTTCCACACAGTCACAAAAACAAATCAACTGAAAAAGCCTCAAAAACAAAAACACAAAATAAAGAGCAAAAACAAAAGCGCCAAACTGAATCCACTCCAGAAGTCCGTTTGACTTCTGAAATGTTCGAAAACCAAGGCGCATCTTCTGAGTGGTGCAGGCGCCCCGGAAACATAGCTGACAGCCGCATCCGACGGTCGGCTTCCGAAAAACGTTCAAAAACCGGAATGCTTACCTCCGGGTTTTCAGCATTTGGGAACCAAGGTACCACTCTGATCTCCAGACTCTGTACTTCTGAGCTTCTCTTGAGTTGTGCTGGAAGGGGGGTCTGTCTCCATGTCCCCAGGTGACCCCTCCTGGCGTGGATCTGAGGGGTTGCCTCTCCGGCCAAGAAATGCCTTGCCAAAGAGACAGCTAGCACCTCAAGGATGAAGGCTCCAGCTCAGCCTCTTTCCTGTCACACAAGTTTTCTGCATTGAAGGGAAGTGAGTGATCCTGTGCGGATCCCTCTGCACTGAGTGATCCTGTGTGGATCCCTCTGCACAGAAAGCCAGCACTGCCAGGAAGAAAGTGGAGCAGGAGGCTTCCTCCCGGAGATGCGGCCTTCCTACGTTTTAGTCTCTTTTCAATCTCTTTAGGTGGGCGGCCATCACGGCCTTTTTGTTTTCAGACCTTGGGTGGGGCTTGGTAGCTGAATGGGGCGGGGGCAGGAGAGACACAGCGGCTACTTTGACTGGACAGGGGGTCTTTCAGGGGGGGCTGATCCTGCCGTCCACCCCTTCTCTGCGAGGTTTTCTTTGAGACTGGGAAGAGGGTGGGTGTTTTTAAAGAAGTTTCCTCTTTGATTTGTGGGTCCGTGTGACTGCGCACACCCCTGCAGCAGAGGGTGGGGGGCTCTTTGTCAGCACCAGGCAAAGTCAACCCTTCATTTAGCCCTGGGGGGCACTTCTGAATTTAAAAAGCCCGATCCCTCTTGCTTTACTTGAGCTGGAAACTGGAGCCGGTGGTGGCTTAGTGGAGAGAGTGCAGGAGAAGAAGAAGGACCTGGGGGAGACCAGGGTTCAAATCCCCCCCCCCGGCTATAAAGCTTCCTGGGTATGACCTCGATCTCAGTCCCTGCCTCTCAGCCCAGCCTCCCACACAGGGTTGTTGTGGAAATTAAATTGGGGGGGGGGACCAGGTATCCTGCCTTGACCTCCTTGGAGGAACAGCTGGGATAGAACTGCAATGAAGCCAGAGACCCACACAGTCCCGGGGCGGGGGCAGATGGAGTGGATGCCTCTCGGGGGGGGGGCAGGGGTGCTGCTTTCCCCTGGGGCCATGGGGGGCCTGGGCCTTGCTTCCCCCTCTTCCCCTGGGAGCCACGCGCCATCTGGGGAGGGTGAGGGGCAGCCCGGCTCCCCGGGGATGCGAGAGCCCCGGCAAGAGGGGGGCTGGCCCGCCGCCTCCCCCCTCACACCAACCTCTCCCTTTTCCCTCCCCAGCAGCCCCCGGCAGTGCAGAGGCGGCCATTGCTCATCACATCCTAGTGTGCGATTTGTCTCATCACGCTGCATGGCGGTACAGTAGCCCTTTTCTTTGACTCCATCTGTCTCGCCTTTTTGCATTTCTGCTTTCCTTCCCCCCCCCCTTTCCCCAAGGAGATGCTGGAATGGGAGGGGACGGACGGACGGACGGACGCAGAGACCCCTCCCCATCTCCTTCCCCCTCGTTTCTCCTCCATCTGGTTTCTTCTGTTTCTCATGTTTCCCATGAACTTTCGCCAGCTGCCAAGAATCGCTTGCCTGCCTGCCTGCTCCCTCCATGGCGCCAAGCCCCCTTCCCAACACGCTGCGCTTGGTAGTCTGGGCTCGGGGGCGGGCAGAGGGAGCACGGGGGGGGCAGAGGGACATGGGCCTCAGGACAGCGGCCGGAGGCTCCCCTGGTGAGTGGGTGCCAGGAGCAAAGGCTCTTGGAGGTTGCCAGGCCCCCATCTATACCACTCTTCCACACACCCCCAAGCATGTGGGTCAGCCATTGTTCAGCACATGCACTGGCAATGGGCCTGATCCTGCCACTGTGCAGACAGGGGAGCATGAAGGTCCAGGTTGCTCCGTAGGTGTAGGACAGGACAGCCGCAGGCTTCCGTAGTCGTTCTCCGGGCATCTGAATTTAGGGGCCCTGAGATGAGCAAATGCCAGAGGGTGCTGAGGGTTTGCTGCTCAAGACCTTGTCTGCCCCACGGCTCCCAGGGAGGAGGGGTGATGCTGACAGCAAGTCAGGCTGCCTTGGCCTGGGAGAGAATGGTGCGCAGGCCTCCCATTTTGAGCATGCAAACAGGAGCCAGGGGCAGCGTCCGCCATGGCGAGAGAGACCCGGCAGAGAACTTGGAGGAGACGGGGCCGTCCGGTTCATGGCCGGTGTTTTCCCTCCTGCCTTTTGCCTGCACTTGCCTCTTCCCGGGCTTCCTGGGTGGGCGGCCGTCCCCGGCCAGCCCCCTCCTCCTCTTCCTCTTCCTCCTCTCTGTCTTGCAGACGATGGAGACGCAGGTGGAGGAGTGGTACAAGGAGGTGGGGGAGCTGCAGGCCCAGGTGGCCGCCCTGCCCTTGGAGGCGGCCAGCAAGGAGATGGTGGACGAGCGGCAGAACGCCGTGGGCACGCGCATCGTGCGCCTCATCGAGCCCCTCAAGGAGCGCCGCAGGATCCTGCTGGCTTCCAAGGAGGTGCACCAAGTCAGCCACGACCTGGAGGACGAGATCGTAAGTGGGGCGCGGAGGAGGGAAGGGGGGCGAATCTGAAACCAGGCCCTCAGAAGGGAGCACTTCCGATTGTGGGAATGTTCAGGGAGGCAGGAGAGGATAGATTGTTTATTAATATCCTTCTTAACTTGCGCTAGCAAGTTGCCTTACTTAGCATAGTTTTACATTCACCTTTTAAACGCAGAGTGGATAGCTGGTTGCAGGCTTGTGTAAGCCTCTCACTATTAGGTCCCTGGTAATTTCCCTTATATCCCTCTTAAAAGAATAAACACGCCACAATCTTGTGGCAAGTATATAAAATAGGTTTACTCACATCATCAGTTCACAGTTGGATCCCTGAAGGCAGACTTAGTTACAAAGGATATACATGTGGATCTATCCCATATGGGGATAATATGGAAGCCAACAGAGCATTTCTAGCTAAAAAGCTGCTCCAACAACAGAGGAAGTGAAAGAGAGAGAATGTGCTGCGTGCCTTGTCCTTTTGTTACCTGGACCGGTTAGGTCACGCCCACCTCTAGTCACATGCAAAGGAAGGATGTCCCAGCCAGGAGGAAACAGGAGGTTTTTGACTGGCTGGACCAAACATCCCCTTGCATGTCTACTCTAGGAAAACAAGGAATGTTGTACTTGACTGCTACTTACGTATCGCATCCCACACTGATTGCTAGAAAGGCATGGAGAGAGAGGAAGCTGGATCTCACAGGGTCTACAGAAAAACCTCCCTGTGAGAGCCACTCCCATCATGTCCAGACAGATCAAGGGGCACAAGCGCTTCTTCCAGCGAGGGGACATTGGACTGCAGGCGTTTGCTCAACAACTCCGGGCATTTCCCCCCTATTTCCCCCCTATTTTCTTTATTTGGAATCCCCCAAAATAGGAGGTGTCTTATACACAGGGGGGGGGGGTCTTATACACAGAAAAATACAGTGTGTGTTTATTAAAAGGGGGAAATACCAGGAAATCCAGTCTGCAGTGAAGCATCCTGGATTACTTAAAAGGCTAAATCTAGCTTATCGACAGCCTTCTTATTTTGCTGCAAAGGGGATGTCCTCTGCTGAACTCACAGATGTGAGTAAGGAAGGATAATACCTAAGAATATATCCTCTCCTAGTTTCTATACATATCCCTGCAGGGAGGAGCGGCCCCAAGCGCACTGGGGGCTCACAGCCTTTGGGGTTGGGGGCAAAGTCTGCTTCCTGGGGGCTGTGGAGGTCAGGCTCATCTGACGGAGGTTGCAGAAGTCACAGTGGCGCCACCAAACCAGACGCATGGATCACGGGGGACGGTGGCCTTGGTGAGGACCGCCCAGGAGCTCAGTCTGGCCGCATCTTCCGCGGGGTTTGGGTTCCAAGGATTCTGCAAAAATCACATATACCCCCAAACCTTTTATTTTTTAACAAAAGTTGTTTATTGTAGGAAATGCATAACTCGGATGTGGGAATGTTCAGGGTGACAGAAGAGGATATATTGTTTATTAATATCCTTCCTAACTTGCGCTAGCAAGTTCCTTTACTTAGCAGAGTGCATTCCCCTTTACACAGCACAGCAAATAGCTGGTTGCAGGCTCGTGTCAGCCTCTCACTATTATACACTTCAGTCTCAGATTGAATTGCATGTTCCTGGTAAGTTCCCTTGAATCCCTCTTAAAAGAATAAAGACGCCACAATCTTATTCAAAGTCAATAAGAGAAGTTTACTCACATCAGTTTACGGCTGGATTCCTGAAGGCAGACTTAGTTACAAATATGTACATGTGGATCTACCCCACATGGGGAAATAATCCCAGTGCTTCTGCTAGCTGAGAGCTAGTCTTGTCTAAAAGCTGGTCAAATGCAGAAGGAAGTCAGAGAGAGAGAGAGAGAGTGCTGCGTGACTTGTCCTTTTGTTACCTGGACAGGTGAGGTCACACAGGGAGAGGAAGGTGGCCAAGTTCTCTTCTGGAAATAGAGCTGTTGGGAGTAAGGGGGGAGCGCTGAGTCCCCCCAAATGTGATGGGACCCCTTTCCACCTGTGCTTTGGCTCCGATGCCAAGGGGGGGCTGTGCCTCTTCCACATCTGTGGACCTCAATGATGCCATTAGGAATTGTACTCACAGGGGGGGCACTTTTGTTTTTCTCCCCCACCCACTTCTAGATCTGGGTGCAGGACCGGCTGCCCTTGGCCACGTTGAAGGATCACGGGAGCAACTTGCAAACGGTCCAGCAGTTCATCAAGAAGAACCAGGTGCAAAGCGGAAGCCGGGGGGGCAGAGTGTGTGGGAGGTGCTGGGGAGCCCCCTCTCCCCAGGACGGGGGGGGGGGAAGAACAATGGGGGAGCCTGTTTTGTCCTGGACGTTGCCATGGCGGCCATCAGAAAAGCAGGGGCTGGTGGCCTAGGAGAGCCCCAAAATCAGAGGCTCCGCCACCATCTGAACAGTTCCTTCTGGGCCATATAGAGACTGTGGTGTAGTGGTTAGAGCAGTGTTGGATTTACATATAAGCTGAACAAGCTCTAGCTTAGGGCTCCACTCTCTTGGGGGGCCCCAAAAAATTTAAAGGAAAAAAACCTGGGTGTACATTTCCAAAATATAAGATAAATAACAAATAAAATAAAAGCTACGTACAGCAACAGTGTTTAGTGCTGTGTAGGCTCTGATGATGTAAGCCATGGGCCCCGCCTGTTCATCTGCCCCCTAAAATATCCCTGGTTTGCTCCTTTCTATATATAGGGTGCCGACATTCTGCATGGACCGGTTGCAACATGGGCAAAGGGCTTGAGATACCTATTCAGTCCATAAATTACCATCTAGCATATATTCAACACAAAAACCAGTGACAATTTGTTGTGGACAAAGGACAGCTGGACACAGAAAGGGCCCCATTACCGTCTGTAGCTGAGGGCCTCATCAAACCTCAACCCGGCCCTGGGTTAGAGTGTTGGATTAGGAGACCCGGGTTCAAATCCTCCCCTTGGCCATGACCTTGGGGGCCGGTCACTTACTCTCAGCCCAGCCTACCTCACTGGGATGTTGTTGTGGGGATTAAATGACGAAGGGGGAAGAGCCCCGAAAGCCACCTTCAGCTCCTTGGAGGACCAGTGGGGTGCCGGTGTAAGCATTAAAAACCCCTAATAATAATAATTTGAAAGCCTCTCCCTCTTCCCGGTCGCCAGAACCTCCGCCGAGAGATCCAGGTGCACAAGCCCCGCATGGAGGACGTCCTGGAGCGCGCCCGGGGCATCGCCACCATCAAGACCCCCGAGGTGGACCCCGTGCGGCTGCTGCTGGAGAAGCTCTCGGAGATGTGGGGCGCCCTCCAGGAGGAGACCGAGCAGCGGCAGCACCTGCTGGACGCCACCTACC